TATTAATAGCTGAAACATATAATTGTTTACTGCAGGAACACGTAAAGCGTCTAAAACTACGAAGATATTTGTAAACTTTTATAAGATTATTAATGTAGAAGCACTTTGCTTAATGAATTTTGTTTCAGACCAATGTAAACAGCTACATGACAATAATTTAAAATCTTTTTATGTGATGCTCTGAAAAAGTATATATAATTTTGCAAATACATGCATATCTAGCCTGTATTTTATGATATATAAATTTAATTATTACTAGAAATGATTTTATTTATTTGTAACTGTAATTCATAAATAATTACGTTGATTATAAATTCAATCATGAAAGTGCTGTTTAATGCTCCCTACTCTAAATCAGTAAATCTGAACTTGTAAATAAATTTAGAGACATTTTTGTCGACTTATAAACATGATAATTCAAAAATTAGAGAAGCAAATGCAGTAAAATTAGATTAAATTTTTACTGAAAAAATATATTGTTATATAGATTAGATGAAATTAATCTAATTTATTACAAAAAAACTGATGACTGTAATCAACAAATAATGAAAAATAGCATTTATTCTAGATGTAACAATTAATATTATGAAATAAACAAAAGAATATGTCAGCAAAAAGTGACATTCACTAAAGACAGATGAAAAAACACATTGTGTGCAAATTTATTACTGTATGCACATCGTGCTCTTGTGATTAGAAAAAATATAAAAAGTAAGATGATAACTGACACACAAAGTTCTATATGGATTTTGAAAACGTTGTATGTAAAATTTATTAAGTACCTTATATACAATCACAACTGTAACATGTGGAAATGAGAAGAAAATGTATAATAAACACTCGTAATGTGACTACATGACATTCATGAAAATTATATGATGTTGAAGCAAACATATTAATTAATGATTGGAAATCTTGTGAATTCTTTCTGCCAGTAAATGCAAACCACAGACAGGATGGTAACCAGGACAGTGTATGGATAGGGGCAGGTATTAAATGTCACAAGATTTTTTGTTAATTGCAACACCAACTCTAATTTGTTACTTACCCCCCAGTTGTTTGAAGCTTAGTTGACTCAAGTTGACGTGCAGCTTCTTCTGTTCTTTTTAAAAGCAATACCTGTAACATATACATGAACTATTGTATAAGGTGTAAATATAATATGTCCAGATGTGTAATTATATTTCTAATTTATGTTCATGTAATTTATTTGAAATGTATTTTGAATAATTTTACATTCATACGAAGCATTTAAAGAATACCAACTTACACGAACTTTTGTAACTCACCTTTTGCGATAAGTTTCTAAAGTGCATTTCTTGGAGCATGCTACTGTGACGATGTAAATTTTCATGACGGGAGATGGCCAGCAATACTCCTCGTTCAGGCACATATCGGCACACTGCCGCCCCTATCGCTCTTTGAAATTCCTTATGCGCATTTTCCAATTTGGCACTATGTACGAAAAAAAAGATTTATAATACAGCACGCATCTTACCAGACTTTAATATTTTACGTAATTGTATAATGGGAACATAATACATACAATTCTCTTAGATCTTCAGGTACTTCGATTTCGATCTTGTGAAATGTATTTTTATCGATGGGGGCGTTAGGATTTTTTGCTCTTAGTCGCTCACTAGCTACAATTTCTGTATAAGAACATTCCCATCCCGAATATTCGACTACTTGAAAACCGCCTTTACTCATCTGAAATAATAATTTTAACAAATGAATGTTTCTAATGAAAATTAGCAAAAACTTGTTTAAATAAATTTGCTTACTAAATTGTACATTAGTAGATATGTTATGTGATAAACAATCTTTGGAAATATCTAAAGGCTTCTACTAACCTTAATAACTGCTTTCCACCACCCACATGCTTCAAGCTCATTGGACCTAGAAAATACCTCAATCTCCATGTTCTCAGAAAATTCAGGTTTCGAAACATCTTTTGGAGGTAGACGTACTTGAGCAAATGGAAATTTTGATTCTGGTTGCCAGCTAAAATATAATACATCATTTTTTAATATGATAATATGTATTAAATATCTATAAAAATACCTCGTACAACATTGCAATACTTTATGTATAATATTTTTAAATTGTAATAAATTCTCACAAAAGTAACGGATATATGCAAGTATTCATTAATAAAAATATATCTCTATACAACAAATATATATAATTTACATATAGGTA